GGTATTGTACCAGCAATAGCTTCTTTTTGAAGTAAAGGTAAAAATAATTGTACGAATGATGGTTCATAAGGAGGACCAATCATTTCAAGAACCTTTATAGAAGAAATAGCAATAATAAATTTACTTGTCAAATAAATCATCTGATTTACTTCAAAAACAAAATGACGAATTAATGATACATCAGTATCTTGTTGTTCCCAACGTTTTTTCATATATTCTAATATTGGATGTACATATGAACAACTAAGCATATGTACCATACGATCAAGAATTGTCTTTTTAAATTCCAACTAAAAACAAATATATATATTCATGATAATTCAGAGGCCAAAACAGGTCGAAAATTATTTTTCTCGTGGTGAGGCGAAGTTAATAAACACATCGCATATACCTAATACCATGCAATTCTGCTGCAGGTCAAGTTATCAATCAAACAAAGTCTAATCTACGTCCTAACAATTGTTAATAATATTTTATTTCTTTGTTCGATAGAGAATAACAAAGTTAAAGGTTGATAAATTTTAAACTATATCATTTTTGTGTTTCTGTGGTTATCTATTTGTACTGTTGTATCTAGTTTTTGTAATATGTAGTCAAATAAATCATATGATAGAAATATACAAATATCTTATAAAGACGTAATAAGACTATGGAGACCAAAGGTAAAGTGGGAATGGATCGAGGAATAGAGCTTATCGGATTCGAAAAAATTTTGGATCTGATGAATCAAGTCATCTGTGATATGAGCCGGATGCTTTCGTGATCGAACACCAAAGAACTGGTGAACAAGTATCTCGTACTTGCGGGACAACTATCCAATTTCGGTAAAAAATTCCATTGAGAGTACCAAAATACGGATTGACCTAGTCCAGATGGTTTCAGTCAAGAACAAAATATTCTATCCGCTTCGGCTTCTGATCTAATTATAAATAATGAAATTATCTTACATGAACAAGTGTATCAAGTTCAGCAAATGTTGCTTCAAAAAAACGAACTAATAATTCAAAAGCTTTTTGATGTAATAAGAAATGTAGGCTAACAATCTATACAAAAGAAAAAAGTTTCAATTAAGATTTATAATTAAAGAATAAAAAAAGTTTGCTATTTACTTCATCAATAATAATTAAATGAACAGGTGTGGTACCTTGATCAAGTTTAAAATAACTTGGATCAAATATACGAAATTCAATCCAACGAAGAACACATGCCGCTACTATTGGAAATCTAAAAACAAAAAATAATTTATCGAATAATTTCAATATTTTATTTTTGGAATTGAGAATTATTACCGAAGACATTTATAAAGTTCATTTAGATCACTAATAAGATCAACAGTTGATTTTGAACTTATACATATTTCAAGAGCCTTTTCAAGTGCTATAGTTGTTTGAGATAATTCTTCTTTACTATTCACTGTATTTTTTCGTGAACTCTACGAAAAAAAAAATAGATTGTTTCAGTTTTGTTTTCGTATTGAAAAAAATTTACTTTTTTATTTGTTTCAGCAACACTACAAGCATAAGCAAGAAGACCAATATATTTTGGTCGATGTTCAGGATTTAATGTGGACTCAGGATCAAATAATTGTGTTATTAATAATTCTAATAAAGAAAATGTATTATTAAAATTTTGTATTGAATAATATATATTTTTTTTTACCAATAAAAGCTGGTTTTCGAATAAGATCAACAGGTGGTGCATCAGATGATTGATATATTTTATAAAGCTATGAAAAAAACAACAATTTATTTAAGAATATAAATATGAAATTACTTACAGTAGTTACATCAGCTGGATTCAGAGCTTTTTTTGATAGCATGGCACAAAGTGGTTGATAAACTTTAGGATAAGCTGTTGTACCATCAAGTGTTAGAGTTATTTCAGTAACATTATGACCTCTAGTTAAAAACAGAACAAAAATGTATTAGATATTATAATGAAAAGAATTATTTTTGTTTTACTTTGCTTTTGCATGTAATTCAATTTCTTCAGAAATTCGTCGAATAATCATTGATTTAGCATCATTAGCAAGGGATGATAAAACACTTTGTGCATATAAATATGTATGTTCACTATGACAAGCCAATTGCTAATAAAACAAAAAAAACAAGTTCACATAGTAGAAGTTTATTTCTTTATATGATAGTTTTTGTTTGTAAGAAAAATTATTTTTTGTGTTTTTGTCATGGGTGGATGAGGCTCGCCAAGTTACCCATAAAAATGTTGTTTTCGACATATAGAGACGATACTTTTTGTACTGAAAATTAAATCCAAGAAACTCAGGAAAGTCTTCGTAAATTGAAATATGCCAAAAGTTTCATGTCACGACAATCTCCATATTAATCCGAATTTGTTTTTCTCTTGTGATCTTACTCGTTATATAGTCAAGAAGAAAGCGTAGGACAGTTTTTGAAAAATATTTGGTTGTTAAGAAAATCGATTTTTTTGCAATATTATCTCAAAATGCTATACGTACGGATTCATACTTCAAGATTTTATGCATCAGAACTTTACTATCAAAGAAACGCATATCACATTCGGAATCACCATAAAAGTCTGAATCGAATAGTACAGTCAATATTCAAAACAAATTTTCATTCTCTCACTGTTATTTTCGAATACTGTCATGTGTTCTCTTTCGAAAGTTAAATTTTGACGAAAACTTGATTTGAACATTTAATATACTATGCGATGGAAAGTTTCCCATTGATTCAGAATACGACATTCGTTTTTAGAGACTGAAGTTCTAATGGTCACAATCTTAGAATACAAACCCAAATATATCGTATTTTGTTATGAAATTGAAAACCTCAATTTTTTCAACAATCAAATATTTTTCAAAAGCCATGCATCATGTTTTTCCTAATTATATGACGAATAAGACAAAAACTAGCTATATTTTAGAGATATCGTTCAAAATATTTAAAGACAACATGTTTATAGGTAACTCGACAAGTTCTATCAAATCATGATGAAAAAAACGCCAAGTATGACTCAAATTTCGAAAACCCGGTACCTTATATATATTTAACTTTTTATTACAATACGTTAATAAAATTTCTCTCATAAAAATGAATCTAAATTGGTTTTTTGTTTTTAAATCTTTAATAAAAGAAAGAAATTAAAGGTCAATTATCTACATCTATAAACATACAACAAGTTCTTGAATATTTCTTTTCCATTCATTTGCTTCACTATCAATAGTTCGTTGTATTGTTGTCATAAGTACTTTTGTAAATACTTCAACTTGTTGTGCAGCTACAGGCACACTTGTTATTTCATCTTCATGACCCGAATCAACCAAAAGCTATTTTTTAAAGACAAATTTTTGTTTAAAACAAGAATATATATATATATATATTTCTCTAATTTTTACTTTTATTGTAAAATTTAACATAAGACAATTTGGATATTCTTCAGCAAGTTTATAAATCATTGAACGCCAATTCATATGGTCAGTCATTTCAGTTAACCATGACGGTACCTAAGTAAAATATAGATTAACATTTATTTTCTAGATGATAAACAAAGAAAGAAAGAAAGAAAATAAATATTTACTCCTCCTGCTTCAAAAATACTATCGGCTTTTTTTGGTTCAAAATGTTTTTCAATTAATGTTTGTAAATGCTGTACAATCATGTTTACAACATCCACTGGTTCAACGCCGGTTAATATCAACCAATCAGCCATTAATGTAGCTGTTTGGGCAATAGCCATATAATTTTCTGATAATAATTCAATAACTTGATCGGGTGCACCACCATGTCGAAAATAACTATAGACCAAAAAAAATCGTTTCAATCGTTTAATGGTTTATGTTACAAATGTATCGTAAAATTCTTTTTCTAACCTTCACACAGATTAAAACAACGAATCAATATGACTGCCTATATTAACAAATCATTTTCTACTACCATGATTGTTTATTAAGTTAAAAAAAATCAGAATATTCCAAAGGTATGCACGAAACAAAAGTGAGTAGCTCTTCAATAGTTCAGGTAATTTATATGATTTTTTCAATAATGTCATCTTATATTCATTAAAGTTTATTCAATATATTTCAAATTGAGTGGTTATGTATTTCAACATTAGAATTAAAATAGACTCATAGGTGGCCAATTTTTTATTACCCGTGAGAGGAACTATCAAGACTAACTTTTGAGAAATTCATTAAATTTATTTAAACCACAAGCATTATCTAGATTAATCAAACGATAGCATATGATACAATTGAATGATATTAAAAAAATGATATAATTCAGAAGAATCAGTTGTTAGTCTCATCTCGTTTCTTACTCTCACATTCAGCTAAGTGCCTACTTTCAGTATAATGCACTCTATTTTCAACAATGCTCAAGAAATGAGAACAGAAATTCCTAAGTTGCGAAGAAATTCTGCACGGAGCTATGGTAGTTCCTTTGGAAAACAAAAGTCAATCATTAGTTCCCTCATAGTATCGCCATTCATCGAATCCAAGGCTATTTTTTTTTCCGCGATAATTTTCATATCCACACACTTATACTCACAAATTCCTTGATGGATATATCAATATAACATCAAAAAGTATCGTGAATATTGTGTTCTTTTTAATTATAGTAACCATGAAATTCAGAATGAATTCTTATTGCTCAGTCCTTGGAAACTTCTGACCGTTTCCTAATGAAATATATTGAAAAACACCTGAAGCTGGTATGCAGCCTGTAGATTTGTTTTTCTAGCTTTTTGAATAAATCATAGAGGCATTATTATTTTTCTTACTCTTTAATCGTATCAAAAACTTTTGGTTCCATAATGAAATCAGTTGATGAAAATAATTGTACACATTGTTTTTGAATTTGCTCATCTTCATTTTCTGTTTCCATTTTATGTCTATGAAAATTAATTTAATCTAGAATATGCAAAAAAAAAAACAAAAATATGCAAGTCTTTTTCATAGAAAAAAAGACAAGAAAAATTCTTTTCAAGCTCGATTAGAAGAAAATTTTGATAGAAAAAACTTTTTAATGATAATATCCACTAAAAATAGTTTCAATTGGAATTGGTTCCTTTAGATAAACAATACAACGTCCATTACCAAAAAATCTCATAACTGTTTGTTCATCATTACTTTCAGGTATGGGAGTATCTTTTTGAATAACATCACTTTCTTTTTGAATCATTTCAATAATATCATGACCTGTTTGAGATGCACTTATACCGGGTGCAACACCACATGTTAAGTGAGCACGAGAAAGATAGCCAAATGTTGGATGAAGAAATGTAATTTTTTCTGGTATATTTGAAAATAATACTTTATCAACTAAAAGTATATCATCATCAGCTAATGATTTAACCATAGATGTATCATAATCATCATTTGTATTTAAATTGTCAGTTGTTGTTAGTTTTGATTTATTATTGCGACGATATGGACGGGATTTTTTATTATCACTAGTAACAATTTGAGATGACGCTTCTTTCTTTGGTAATTCATTATCATCTTGATCCCATAGTGCCCATGTATGACGATCAGGAAAAAGAAGACGTGCACCTAGAATGATATAGAAAGAAAAAGAAATTCTTTAATTTTCATTTTTTTTTTATCTATTCTATTTCATTATTTACTTAAAGTACGTGGTGTTATAGTAAATCCAACAATATAAGCTTGAAACATTTTACCAAGTGAATGTGATATTAAACGATTAGCAGCATAATTTGTATAATCTTTTCGGCTTTGATCTGTTACTTTTCCGATAAATTTCATTGTACAATGAAGAATTTTAGTTTGAACATTCAGATTTGCACGATTTAGTAAATTATGAACAGATATATCTATCAAAAAAAAGAAAAACATAATACAAAATATCACAAAAGTTCACTCAGAAAGTTTTCATGAATAACTCTTAAGCAGTTCAAATGACAATGATAATATATTCTTTGAAGTTTTTCGTTTTATGTAATGATCAGATAAATATTTGTGCTTATAAATATATATATAATTTTCTTAATGGCCAAACTGGAGTTATCTTTCGCTGTGAAAAGAAAAGTGCAAGTCTCGATTTGGCATAAAAATATCAGACATGAACTGTACTATTAATGCTTTTCATCGCTTTTGTGAAATTAATATATTAACAAATAAACAATCTAGAAGATCTTGAAAAATTACAGAAAGAAAAATCAATGAAGTTCATAATGAATGTTTGGACAATAACAATAGGCTGCTGCATTTCACGAACAAAAGCAGATCGAATTAGGACTTAATATCTTTCAATGAAGTCTTCCAATATGCAATTTATCGGATCACTTGACGAAGAAGATATTCATAAGGTCGAATTGACTTTGTCAAGTGTAGAGATAGGCAGGATAAACTTTTTTCCGTACTTTGTATGCTCACTGAGAAATTTTCTAAACAACTCTAGTCAAATGTTGATACAAGTGTTAGAAAATATCAACAAATACAAAATGTAAATGATGACGATTATTAGTTGTTCTTCTTTTTGTTGATAGGATCGAGACTGTTGATGGAAGGACGATATGCACCACTGATTATATTACTATTGAAAATAAAAACTAATAACCGAAATAAACTGATTTGAAAAAAAAAAACTTTTTTGCATGAATTTCTTTTAAAGATCTCAAAAAGGTAGGTTTTATGTTTTTCAGTTGGCGGCATTTCTTTTGAATATATGTAATAAACCAAATTATATGACATAAAAATGTAAACAAATATACTATTTTATTATTTAAAATAAAAATCATTTAAATTACTTAAGAGTTATTCATGTAAATTATTCAAACGGATTTTTGTGACATCCTGTAATTTATGTTTTTTCCTTACTCTTATCTCGACTAATTTGTTCCAGGTCTTTTTTTAATTGAGGAAATGTTTGTAATGCTTGTTGATAATAATCATAAGCTTGCTGAAGAACATAATTCGATTGTTCATGATTAAGAAATAAACCAAAATAAAATGGTATTAGTGAATGATATGTACGTAGACGTGCTTCAATAATATCCATGGGTACTTTATGTGTATTTCGATCTATAATAAATAAAAATTTGACTATGTTTTTAATTGATGAACTATTAACTAACTCATTAATATATTTGTATCACGTTTCCAACTCGTTCGTGGTTCAACAATAATAACAATATAACCATAATTAGATGCTTTTTGAAAATATGGCTTACATTCATCCATGCGAATATTTGTATTATCAACAATTACAGCAAGAACATTATTTCTGAAAGAAAATAAATATGTACAAAACAAAAAAGAATTTATGTATAAATCAATAGCGGCATTTTTACTTGCAAGCATCTTCTGTTTGTCGTTGACATGTAAGATGTGCTTCACCAATTTTGCCACGATTGAAATTATAATTACCTTGACTATCAATAAAATAATTATCAGCCGAACAAACAATAACCGATTTTGAATATATTCTTTTAAGTTGGGTAACAATTGTTGATTTACCTAATCATTAAATAATAATAATAATAATAATAGTCAAACACTATTATTTCCAATACCTGATCCAGGAAGTCCACGCATTAAAAACATAACCTACAATGAAATGTACACGTATATTGTTTTAAATTTCTAATCATTTCGAAATAGATATGCAGTAAAACCACACATAGTGAACATTTTTTCAAAGTTACAGCTATAATTGTTTTGCAGAAAATGAATCTCCATATAGTAGACACCATTATATAGCTCTATAGTAAATACTTTTGATAAGTTCGAAAGATACGTACTATAGAGAGTTTATACTGTATTTTACCTGTATGAACAATCGTTTGCTTACCAAGTACTTAGTATAATTCGAATCGAGAACGACAATTTGATATTCTAATCAAGTAAATGTAAATCTCAAGTCTAAATATTTGAAAAGCATAGATGAGCTTCATGGTATTTTGTGCAATACCATATTTTCTATCGTGTTTCTTTTTTGTGTGAGGTGTCGGCACTTCGAAATTCGAACAAAATTTTATTTATCATGATTTGATAGAGCTAATTGAGTTACCTTCAAAAATATTGTTTTTGACACATTCAAATGATGTTTCTATAGTGAAACTATAGTTAAAAAGAATCAGAAAAGCCTATAAATTAAAAATTATTGTTTGATTGTGAAGAAAATCGATTTTTTTTCTATTCGATATCAAAGTGCATGTAAATACGAGTTCGTATTCAAAAACTTTGACCCTTCAAACTTGAGTTCCAAATGAAACAAATCTTATATTCAGAAGCAGTAGAAAAATCTGTATCTGATAGTATGCTCATTATTTAAAATGAGTTTTTGTCAAATTTCGATCGTTATACCTACTCACTATGATGTTCGAATACTCTCACGTGTGCTTTCTCCAAGGTCGAAATTTCGCGAAAACTTGTTTTGAATATATTATTCGATAAAAATTTTCCTGTTGATTCTAAGATATTCGTTTCATCTGAAACTCAAGTTCTAATGGTTAAAATCTTATAATGTAAATCTATACTTCTGGCATTTTGCTATCTCTAATTTTGGCTACAAAAACTTCGTTGAAATGTGTCGAAAGCAACTTTTTGATAGGTAATTCGATGAACTCTATGCAACCATGACAGAAAAATGCCCAAAATCAAAGTTTTTATTTAAATTTTGAATTACCACCACCTTATTTAATTGTTTAGTTTTGCAACAAACCTACGAGAAATATAATTTTAATAATACATCAAATAAATACCTTCGTTTGACGAAGATGAGCAACTGTTTCAGGACATGTCAAAAATGGATGCGATAAACTATAAAGATTATCTAATTGATGAATGCCAACTATTCGAAGTTGTATTTTTTGTTTCTAAAATAAAACGTAATAAAATTAAACTTGAATGATCAAAAAAAAATATTAATCCTCTATGGCAAAATCTATTCAGCTCCAACTCATACTGAGAAATATCGAATACAACTTACTTCATTAGAGATAATATTTTGCATTAAAAATGATGGCAAAAGCCAATCAAACATCTGAAAATTTAACAAAAAATGCAATCGTCAATCTCTAATATACTTAATAATAAATTTCGTGCAAAAACGAGGGGCAATAATAATAATAATAATAATAATATAACAAAAAACAATGACAACCCAAAGCAAAAACGTAACTAGAAAAACCAATATTATGACTAGTTTGTATTGCAATCATTCATCTCTTTTGAAATAAGATGAACAGCATCAATAAACCACTTAACATTATCAACAGATATATCGGGATATATACCATGACCTAAATTAGCTATATATCGTTTTGTTCCAAATATTTCAAGCATTTGTCGAACAAATTTTTCTAAATTTTCTTTTGATGCATAAAGTGCACATGGATCAAGATTTCCTTGAAGTGTTAATGTTGGATTTTCTTTGCGTAATAGTTGTATATTTGTTGGTGTTATTGTCCAATCAAGACTAATAACATCAAATAAACCAGTTGTAGCTAAATCTTGAAGACCAAAATGTGCATCTTTAGCAAAAACAATTAATGGTACAGGTGATATTTGTCGTTTTGAAAGTTCATCACGAACACCTTTAGCAATTTGACAAAGATATGGTAATGAAAAACGATTAAATAAATCTGGTGTTAAACAAGCACAATGTGATTCAAATAATTGAACAAGTTGTGCACCAGCTGCTATTTGTTCAACAAGATGATCAATTGTAAAATTAGCAAGAATATTAAGAAGATCATGTGATTCTTTTTCATAACTATACAACCAACGCTTTGATTTTGACATTGTTGAACTGGCTTTACCTAAGAAACAAAATATATTAAATAAAGTTGTACAATTTTTTTTTTGTGTTTTTTTCGTTTTTATTTGATATTATCGATAGTATAATTCCTGATTTTTTTTCTCTTTCTATGATTTTTTAATAAAATATGTCAAGCACATAAAATACTCATAATTCACAATGACACCTGTTACAAATATAAAAACTATCAAAAATAAAATTTATAACTGTCTATCAAAATATTTATTAAAAGCTGATCAAAAAACAGAAAAATTTTATTTTAATAAATCCTACCTTCAATCATATACGACATAAGAGTCCATGGAGCACCACTAAATCCAATTAATGGACATTGTCCATCAAGTGTCTGTCTAGTTAATGTAATCGCATCATAGACATATTTTAATTCTGTACTAGCTTTACGTGTTCGATCAATTTTAGTATTTAAATCCTCAGGTACCTTAAGTGGTTGAGGAAAACATGGTCCTTCATTAGCTACCATTTCAACTTCCATACCAAGTGCTTGTGGTATAACAAGAATATCGCTAAAAATAATTGCTGCATCAAGATCAAATTTACGTACTGGCTGAAGTGTAACTTCACATGCAAGTTTTGGTGTACGACAAACTTCAAAAAATGAATGTTGAGCACTAACTGCTTTATATTCAGGTAAATATCGACCAGCTTGACGCATAATCCATATTGGTACACGTTCAACGGTTTCACCACGACATGCACGAAGAATAAGATCATTTTTTAATGGAGGGAAATTATTTGAAGACATTATTATGATTTTATCTAAAATATTATTTTGTAAAAAAACAAAAAATTCATTTTTCACAGAATTTCACTCGCTAGATGAAATTAACCGTTCGAATTACATCAGTTCTATTATTGTATATCATCTTACAGAGGAAATTTTAAACTATAATCGAACACAAATGATTAAATATTTTGATAAAATACCTAGGGTTTTATCGTAATCTTATCGCAAAGTTTTATTTAATAACATTCTTACTCATGTATATAGTTCGTTTATCCTTAGTTTGCCATTGATTTTTTTTTTCTCTAAAAAAAATTCTTTGAATGAAAAATAATTAGATTCTAAACTAAAAATAATCAACATTTTCTCATCTGTTTTTGACATTATCAATCGAACTTAATATCCATTTTGGTAACAAATAAATATATTTCTTATGATGAAGAACGCTACAATCTATAGAATATTTATTTTTAAGAAGTACCATTTAATATTTTAACCGGCATCTAACGATATCTATCATCAGATAAGAAAGTAAATAGAAAATCATTGGTTAATAATTATTCTCGTTCTTTCTTTCTTTCTATTTAATTTTTCTTTTTCTCTTTCATCTCGTCATCATGTCGTCTCCTGTCCTCTCCATTCGTCTTTTTTTTTTCTTTCTTTTTTTTTCTTTATTCTTTTCTAGCTTTTTTTATTTCTCTTCTTCGACTAGTTGCCGTCGTCCGTTGTTGTCCTTGTTTCTCTACATACACATACCCTTTTCTCTCTATTTCTTCCTTTTCCTCGTTCGAATACATACATACTGAATTCAACGACGACGACGACTACGACACCCTTTGCGATCACTTCTTTCTGTTGTTTCTTTCTTTTTTTTTTCTTCTTTTCTGTCCTTTTCTATATGTTAAGCGTAGAGGAGCGAGAGAAGACGAGAGCGAACGAGAGAATGGGTATGCAAAGGAAAAAAAAATCACTACTTCTTCCAACCGAACGGCATATAGTGCGAAAATGTATGCTGATAGTTTGTTTCTGTCTTTTGACAATGTTGTTCTTTACTTTCTTTTTCTTCTCTATGTTTAGCTTGTTACACAGTAGTAGAAAAGAGAACACAAGACATGTTTTGTCCATCCTCCTTTTTTTTTTCTTTTTTTTTCTTTTTTATTGTTCTTTTCTTTCTTTTCTGTTTTAGATAACTCATATTATATATATAAGATATATAGATAGATATTTATATATTTTTCTTTTCGTTTGATTATCAATCTTGGTTTTTTTTTTTTGTATTCATATATTCCTTATTTGAGATTTTATTTTTTTTGCTTTTGAGACTCTCCTTGTTGGTGGTCTCATTTTCAGAGAAGAAGAAAAGTAATGACAAAGAAAAACGAACAGAATAATATCCAACCGGGTGGTGGAGGGACTAGTACAACTCCAACATCGACAACTACTGTTACAAATACTACGACGACAAGTGGCATTGTTATTGTTCAACAACAACCAATTAATGAACAACAACATTTTGTATTACCTACAGTGAATAATTCAGCACCAATGATTATAACAACACCATTGGGTAGAAATGATTTATATCAGTTGTTGTCAAAAATCAATTTTTTGATTTAGCTGTACCATCTATGATAACTCAACAATTGCCAACAACAACGAATGTCCAACAACAAACGATAACAACTGCTACAAATACAACTACAAATTCACTTGTTCCACCTTCATCAACTCCTACAATTACAACTACTGTATCTAATGCAAATGTTCAAAATAAAACTACAAAATCACCTGGACAAGATCGATTGGTTTGTAGTTTGTGTAATAAAGTTTATCGATCATCAGCCGGTCTACGGTATCATAAACGGAAACGACATCGAGGTAATATAATAGAAAAAGAAGAAGAAAGAAAGAAGTTTCATAGATTTATTTATATATTTAGATGAAGGTATGCTTAAACCAACACAAATTCATCGAGTACGATGTTTAGAAAATGGATGTGTTTATCAAATGTTAGCCATATCCGATCTAAGAAATCATTTAGCTAATCATCATTTAAAGCCAGAATATAAAACAACTGAAGAAAAAAAATTTAATTCATTTGCTGGTAAGAATATATATATTTTTATTGGAATTTTTCAACTTTAAATATTGGAGTACTTATGTAAATATAAAATAATCAAATTGGATTTTAAATTTTCTGAAGGAAATTTTGAATGAAATTCAATTTTTGATATTTATTTCTCAAGTAAAGCTACTATGAAATTAGACAAAAATATGTTTTTCACTTGGATATAAATCTAATACAACTCATATGTGCTTGTTCTGTTCTATTCTGTCATGGCATTTATTTGTTTTCATGGAATCAATTAACTGAATTGTTATTAGCTCAGTTGATTGCAACAGATTACCTTTCATAACAAAAAATCATTCAAATGATTGTTGATAGGAACTTGATGAATGAATCTTTGTAGAAAGATTTTAGTCATAGACAGTGTGTCATTTCACATTTGCTCATTAGAACCAATACTTGAGATTTATAATGAAAGTTTGTTTGCAGTTTGACATTTTAATTATATCGTTATTTTTAGATTTGTGTGATTTTAAATCTGTAACATTTAATTTGAGTTTATGAATGACTTATAGGTTTTCATCATGCCAGATGTTTCTTTTTTTTTTCAAAATCTAGTCGTTATTAATCTTTGCATAGAGAAAAAAAACAGAAAGAATTCAAAGTACATTAATTTCTTCATATATTTGATGAATGGTTGAAGTTTCTTATAATCGGAAATTTGTAATTTTTATTTCTAGAATTTACTGAATGGAAAAGTTCATTTGAACAAAGTAGTGGTTCAAAATATGTAAAAAATTGTGGTTCAAAAGGCAAATCTGAAAATCAAACAACTGAATACTATTATTGTAATCGAACAGGACCATGTAAATAAAATTGTTTCTTTTTAATTTTGTTATTTGAATAAAAAAAGAAAATATAAATTCTTAATATATTTTAGACAAGCAAACACGACAAGGATGGCGTCGGAATTCCAAACCTCTTGATTCTCTTCGTTGTGGTATTCATTGTACATCATCAATGAAAGTTGACATTAGTCGGAATGATCAAATATCCGTACAGTATTATCCAGCACATTATGGTCATACAGCTGAACCACCATTACAAGCCCCACCATCATCTACTACCGGTAATACATCATTACCAACGACAAATGGTGAATTAGTTGAACAACCATCTGTTCAACAACAAACAATTCCACCGATCCAAACTGTTGTACAAGCAGCTGTTCAACAACAGCAAACACAAACAACAACTACTGATCATTGTGTTCGACTTCAACATCAACATCATGCGCAAACATCAAGTATTATTATTAATATTGCGCCTGTAAGAATATAATTTAATTTCTCTTAAATAATTATTTAATATGTGAAACGACCTAATTTTTAAAGAAAATTTATTAAGAAATGGTCAAAAAATTGAAATCTTAAGTGCAGTTTGAGCTTAATATGAAAAACAAATAATGGAAACTATTTCCTAGTTGTTTTCTGCTTCTAAATACACATAGTATCATGTATGCAAAACAAATTCTAATGTTATTGACATTTAACAACATTTAGTTTTGAGCTTACACACTAGCAAAAGAAAAAAAAGAAGCAGTGAGTTCTTCGTTTTTTTTGCAAAATCAAAATAAATTCTTAATATCGTATAAAACTTAAATGATCAAGTAAAAAGAAAAACATACTGATATTTGACTAAATCAAATACATAAACGATCATCGTTGAAAAACTTGATATTATTGTTATTTTTATGATTGCACTTGTAACGATCACTTACACTCTTGTTTTGTTTTTCCAGGTGAATACAACAATCATCAAATGCGTGTGATGAATACGTGTGTGTGTTTGTGTATTTTATAAATGCACAAAGAAATGAAAGAAAAAGAATTTATTCCTTTCCTATATTATTCTAGCCAAGAAAACCACATCATCGAACAATTCAATTACAAGATTTATTAGATACATTTTTGTTTTTTTTTTTTATTTTTTATTTTCATCGATTTATAAAGAAGCAAAAAAAACATTTATCGATGAATAGTATTAAACAGTGACAAAAAAAAAGAAACATTGATATAAAAAGATGAGAATTAGATTAAGAAAGAAAGGAAAATTTTTCAAAAATCCGCGCATGTTATTGTTTTTTGTACAGTGGCTTCTCCATTTTTTTTTTCTGCTCTATATACATAACATGCGCTCTCTCTCTTGATAACATACACACACACGCCGGCGCACGTCTTTCCCCGTGCATATTTATGATGAAATCAGAGCCTCGTCATTTCCTTTTTTCATTTTGTTTTTTTTTTACTTGTTGATAAACTTTTTTGGCCTGTAGCTCTCCGTCTCTCTCTCTCTCTCTTGTGTATCTCATTATTTTACTTGTGACCACTTGTTTCTTTCTTATTCCTCTACGAAAACAAGAAACTAATCAAGCAATACACTTGTCTGTGTTTTGCTCCGTTTTTGTTCTGTCGTGTTTTGTTGTTTTTTCTTTTTGCTTGGTTTGTTTTTTCGTAGAGATGCCTTGTTTTTTTTTTCTTTTCTTTTTTTGTTTTCTTTCTTCCAAAACATTTTGTTCGTTCGTTCGTTTTGTTCATTTGTTTTTTTTTTTTTCGGTTCATACATTTTTTTTTCTTTTTCTTTTTTATTTCGAATACAACCAAAAGAAAAAAAAAAGAAATAACTAGTAAAAAAATTTTTATTAAAACCATCTCGAAATAATATTGTACTGATATATAAATATATATTGAGAAAAGATGATAGAGGAAAAATTGATCAGCATGTGTGTGAATATTTTATTTTTTGTTTTTTAGATTTTTCTTTCTTTTTCTTTCGTCTTTTTTCTTTTCTTTTGTTTTCCTTTTCCTTTCTGTTCGACAATATGACAAAGAAAGGTTCGTCGGCAGCCTCATCGCCGTCGGATGCATTGGATAATGGTGGCGGTGGTGGGCCAGGTCGGTTTGTATGTTCAATGTGTGCGAAAGTCTATCGGTCTGGTGCTGGACTCCGTTATCATAAACGAAAAAGACATCGAGGTAGGTTAGTCTTATCTGAACAAGAATTTTTTTTTAATTATAAAAACTTGAATTTCAATGTAATTTAATAAGTTAAAATGCCTACAGAAAAAACACAATAATTGTTTCTTTTATTTCTACTGTAAACAATAAACAAAACTTTAATTCGATAAATTAAAATAGCTTATGTTGTGCTTTGAAATTGTTAAACTTTTCACGTAAGTTGAAAATTCTTGTTTATATTTTCAAAACAAAAAGTATTGTAACAGACAAATATTAAAATATTTTATTGTGTCTGATTTTTTTTGTTGGCGAAGGCATGGTCGAACCAACCGCGCTCCATCGAGTCAAGTGCCAAGAACCTGGTTGTACATATCAAATGTTAGCTATTTCTGATCTTCGGTAAGAATTGATTAACTAATATTAGTTCGAATCATAAAATGTTCATTTTCATTCAAATAGAAATCATCTAGCAAATCATCATCAAAAACCTGAATATAAATGTACGGAAGAAAAAAAATTCACAAGTGTTGCAGGTAGAAAAAAAAGAAAACTAAAATTTATTCTTTTTTTTTTTTAATTGATATAATAATATTTTTGTATATTATAAAAGATTTTACTGATTGGAAAGCATCATTTGAAAGTCGCACTGGTTCAAAATATGTTAAAAACTGTGGTGCCAAGGGAAAATCAGATAATCAAACAACAGAATATTATTATTGTAATCGTACAGGACCGTGTGAGTAAAATCAATAAAAAAAATTTTTTTGTGTTTTTGAAAAATTACAACAATTCTAGATAAATCAGTTGGTCAAGGTTTACGTCGTAGTAAAGCTCAGGGTTCATTACGTTGTGGTATACATTGTACATCATCAATGAAAGTTGAAATACAAAATGATGAACATATAACTGTACAATATTATCCAGCTCATTATGGACATTCACATTTACCAGCTTCTGATGAACCATATTTATCTGAAAATAGTATGACTATTGGAGGAATAAATGGAAATTCATCATCAACTATTATCAATGGTCATCATCATCAACAACAACAAGATAATGGACAAAATTTATTAACACATTATCCATCACATAGTGGTGATTGTTCATCGTCATCATCACCTGGGTCTTCATCAACAAGTCCATCAGGTGGCTCTAATTCAAATTCAAATCATCCACCACCATCATCGTCATCAACATTAATGTCATCTATAGAACGACAATCAATGAATACATCAAATACATCAATAAAAAACATTAATAATAATAATAATAATAATTCACTACAAAATCAGATGTCACATTGTATTATAATATCACCGTCATTTGTACTTGAAGAAAATGCTTCATCACATTCCAATCATCATTCAACACCGGTGCTCGTTGTTCAACAGCAACAACAACAAACGAATCATTATTTACCATCATCATTATCAACTGCTATTGTTGCTCCTACAACAAATTTAGTAGTTAAAAAAGAAAAATGTGTATCGGATATCATGCGTGAAGCATTTCAACTTTTATCTTATTGGCCATTAGATCATCATCATGGTCTAGTTACAGCAGAGAATGAACAACCAATTCATCATTCTCATGTTAATATGGATGAACATCTCATGTTCTAAGAATTTTTGTTTTCTATTTTCTTTTTTTTTCTCGCTTTCTCTCTCAAATGTGATCAATTAACACGTCCTTTTTCTTGTTATTGAACACAAAGAAAAAACAGTGTTTGTTCTCTGATCAACATTGAACAAAAATCTTCTTTTTGACAAACACAAATCTAAATACAATCATTTTTTTCATTTGATTTTTTTTTCTTGCTCTCTCTGTAAACCATTCCTGTCTTTATTATTACTTCGTTTTTTTCGGGTATCACTTTTGTTCTGTTCAATATCTGTGCTTGTCATACATACACCGAGAATTCCTTTGGTTATATACTTGCAAACCAAAAGAATTGATTCTTTTTGTTTTTGTTTTCTTTTTTTTTGTTATCACTTTTATGCACACAAACAAAACGTTACTTTTTCTTCTTGTTTATTTCTCTACTGTTATTAACAAAAATTCCACCATTATATAAACAGAAAATATCCATTAGAGAACCTTTGAAATTTTGATAATGATTTCTTTTTTTTTTCGAAAAAAAAATGAAAAATTTCTTTTTTTAATGTTAATGTATCTTAAGAATGGCATGAATAAAAGAAAATTATAAATAAGACTTCTTTTTCCCGATGTTTTTTCGATATATCAAATAATTTAATCATTTGTTATTGTTTCTTTTCGATTGTTAGCAAGCACAGGAGATTCCCATATAACAATAACTAATGTTAATAGTAATCAACCATCAGCAGAAAAACTTTCTCAAGAATATGAAAGTTCAATGACAGCTCATTTAACTTGAATTGAAACTAAACAAATATTGGATTTACTTAATGAACTTATACTTAAGTATCAAATTAACCGAAGCTATATCACTTATCTACTTATTATGTAAGCGATTAGCACTACGACACAAAGAATAGAGACAAATCGCCTTTATGATTTCATAAAACAAGGTCCGCCTATAATGAATAACACGTAAATACAGATAGAGCTGGTTTATATGCATACTATGACTATTGGTGATATTTCATATACAGAAAAATTTGTTACAACTATTCAAATACTGCATTTCGATGTAATAGTAACTCTTACGACTGTAAGTTTATGATCCTATAATTACGAACAAAGATAAATATTATATTTTACTGAATTACATACGTAATGATATGACAGAAAAAATTATAACATTATATGATAAATTTGAAAATGATAATGCATTAACACATAATACTTAAAAAAATATTACTTACAATAATTGAATTTCAAATAAATTTCTATTTAACAATAATAAATAAAATTTTCACAGAAAACAATCTATTTCTACTGCACAATATTATTCTTATAACTACAATGATTGATATGCTCATAAATTCAATATTTATGTGTGTAATTTTGAATAAATATTATTTCAAAACAGTAAGACTAGCAATACTATTAAAATTATGTATTCGATTATTTAATTAATATTAAACAATGTAAATCTTTCTTTTATATAGTGTAATGATGACTGTGTGTAATAGATCGATTATGGTAAGAGAAACATTGAAATTATTTGATCAAATAATGAGTGAAGATGATCATGCACATGATTCTGCTCATGTTATACTTGTTTCGCATGAATGCATAGTGAAAATAACTTATTTATTTTTTTTTTGCAATATGATTCATATCTTCATTTGTCAATTTTATTCTTGTTATTCTTTTGAATTAATTCTTCGGTATTTTAAGTCCTAACTTGGACCTGTCTGTTAAAGAGAAATGTCTCTACACTCTGTCAAATGATGATCAAACAATCATCTCTGAATATGCGTGATGTCCTTGATGTCAAACACTGTTTTTGATATGTCAATATAGATAATTATGGTTACTTTATGATTATTAATACTATTGATTTCATGACAAGTTTGTATAATGTACAGATACATAGACGCAGCATAAACAATTGTTGAAACTAAATAAGATTTAAACGATGTTGTATCATGGAGAACTAATGTAACTTGATGTGCTTGTTACAATTAATTACTCACTTTTGAAAAATAATTTTTAGTGTAATAGATATGCTATTTATACTGATGGATAGTATGTACTCGATATGTTTGAAAGTATTTAAAGAGAAAGAAAAATAAAACTGAATGCACAATTTAATTTCGCTACTGAAATATATTTAGCTTAAAAAGACTGGCAAATTTAATATTTATTTTAGATTCTCAATACTTGTTCATATTTGGATTTATTTGATGAAGCCAGTGAAGAATTTTTAGGATATAATATTGAATTACTCGATCGTTGATAGTATTTTATAATGGTAAAACATAAGAAATTTAAAGAATGAGAATGAATATCAAGCTTTTTTTTTCTTTTATTTAGACGGACTCATTGATTCGAGTTGATCAACTTAATGAAATAATAAATTATCTAAATATTTGTTTTTATTGTTATTTAGTTACTAAGACATCGGCATTGATTGACAAATATGAATCGATCAACCACCATAATTATAATATATATGCCTATATTGCATTGTGCACATAATCGAGATCATGTACAATTGAGGTATTTCGACTAGAAGAATTGAAAATATCGCATATGCTTCTACGTATGTGCCTTTTATTAATATATTCATGACACTTCACCTTTGTATTGATATGCATAGTTAATCATTACACTGATCAAGGTCGTCGAAAAGATATATTTAAGATTCAATAAATAATGTGAGAAACAAAGTTTAAAGAAGTATTTGATCTTACTTGAAATAATATCGAAAGTATTATACATGAATTTTATGTTAATGAGCAAACTATTTTTTCTGTTTTGTCTATATCAATCACAAAATAACGTCGATGTCATGCTCAAATTTGTGAATTTATAAAGAAATAGTTCGTATTATTGGAGAACCATTAAATGTTGAATAACTTACATATCGAGGAAAAAATGAAAATTGGTTTTAAAAAAATGTAACATAAGATTATTTTTTGAACAATTACATTAGAATTAAAGATAAATATAGCTTATCATACGTCAATCGACTAGCCGGCTTAGAAATTATTGAAGTCATCAGGAATCATTTTTAGATTGCTCTGATTTAGTTAGAAGATTAGTATTCTTGTTTGTATATAACATAAAGATGATGAATAACAAGGTTTATCTAATTAAAAACATATTAATACTATTCAATACCTATGAACATGAGCATGCGATAAAATTGATATTAGCAAATAGATACACAAACCATCATGCTACAATTAATTAGGCGAAAGTGAAACTTTTTTTTACTTCTATTTATTAGTTTTTACGATCATTCAGAAATAGATTGCCATTTGAATGTACAAAGATAGTCCAGACGTTCTTTCAAGGTTCGGTTAGTACAATATCATCGAGTCTTTGATACATTGCTTAAATTGAATTATCATTGTCAACACTGTCCATTGCTATATACTTCCACTCGGTAACAGTCTTCATCGGCAATCGAACGACGAAATTATATAGTCTTAATATTATGCTTTCTTTTTCGACCGATATTGTCTATCATGTCACTTATTTCAAAATTTTACCTAAAAAATTTACGTAAAAGAAAGTGAGAAAATTTATGGTGAAAGGTTTAAATTCTAATTTAATTAGTACAAATATTAAAAGTATCTTTTGGCGATTATTTTTCTTCCTGTCTCTTATTAGCTGATTCAAAAAATAGAGAAATAAAAATGTCTTGCTGATGATTCATATCTTAATCATTGATCGGCAAAAATTCTCGCGAGTAATAGAGAATTGTATTTGTAGATATTTTGGTCGTTTCAAATTTTTAACTAGACAAGGTTATTATTTGCAGTACACATATACACACTACAGATATTCAACGAGGGATAGATTGATATATGTTAGAGTTATTTAACTTAAACTATCCTAGAATAAAATGCATATCTGTGGATCATTCTCTGGTAATTCATGACTTCATCTATGACTTTTTATGAAGAAAGAAATTAAACTATATCTCATGTAATCTTACACAAAAAGTGTTTGTTTGTCTAATACTGCTCATTTCAGAAAATACGAATGAAATGAACGTATTTCTCGACAGAAATCTTGATTACACACTTATGTTTGTCTATTGATCTCAATTTGTATAACTATAATAAAATAAAAATACAGAAAAAGAAACCATAACTTGCATAATTGATTGCTGTTGTTCTATTCTATTTTGAATTATCTTTGAACAAATGACTTCACACTGCTCATATTACACTCACGCAATTGTAAACTTTAGTTCTCTTTGAGAATTATATCAACAACATATGATGTGTTAATAATTTGATTACGAAAGAGTAACTAGAAGAAGAAGTCAAACTATTTGGCAGCAGTTGATATATTTCAAAGCTATACTATGTTTCTCATGGTTTCAGAATATAATGAATAAGGTGTTCGTGGTTCTGAAGGCTGGAGACACAATAAAACTTTGAATACACAATCTGACTTCTCGGAACAAATTATGCAAGAGGTTATTCAATGACAGACACTACTTCCTAATTTTTTTTACATATTTCAGAAATTTATATAGTTATTTTATATACATATGAATCTGTATGAATAAATTATAATGCTAGATATAATAATTCAGCTATTGGACTATAGTTTATTTGTTAAGATTCAATGTTATATTTTGAACATCATTTATATTGAGATCAACGTGATGATTTTCTTTATGTAAACAAAAACTTTTCTATACTTTTGTATTTATCAATAATAAACTATTACTTTCTTCAGAAGTATGTTTTATGCTGTTTTGACTACAGATGAATTTCTTGATATTAAAATATTATTTTATACCTATACGATGAAAATGATTAGCACACATTTATAAGCACTAGTAGAATCACTTTTTCATCTGAACATAAGTAAAAACTACTGTTCTGAGATGTTGATTAATTAATTAAATAGTCGATTTATCATTATCAGTAAAAGTTTAAAAAAAATTTCAAGTTTAACATATATACGACAAAAAATATAATTAACTCAGTTACAATCAATGATTGATTTAAATGGTTTACTATTAAAGTAATAAGATCTAAGAATAGAGCAAAATTGGTACTGCAATGATTTGATTTAATCATGAATTAATCATTTATGCAGTGCCATTCATTAACATGTTTATCGGATGTATGCTGACGTCGATCAAAATCGATTGTATGAGGTAGAAAAAAAACAGCTTTGTGAAGCGACGTTTTATATTTAGAAATCATTTTTTATACCTTGAAAATGTCAACTGTTTCGAACAAAAAATGCACATAATGGATGATGTTGATTGTTTAACCAAAAATATACTATCTGCTCTATTTCAAAATCGATTCAATGTACTACAATGTGGTTAAAAAAAGCATTTACTAGACAATATATCGTTATTTTCAGCCATTGCTAATAACAATATTTTTGAAGAATTAGATCCGACATTAAGAGAGACATATAGTTGAGTAGTTATTAAACAGTATATTCCAATTGAATTTTTACTGCCTATGTCAGTCATCCACTTTTTTTTGTTTCTTTCCTTTCCCACTACACAAGTTTAGATTGTTCAAATATTAAAAAAATATGAAGCCCGTTCGGTGCACACATTCATTGAAAGTGGTGTTTTTTCTCGATTGAGGCTTCGATAATAGTTTTCTTGTTAAAGAAATTTCTGATCGAACAGCTACTCTCTATGATGAAAACAAATATTTTTTTTTCGAGCAGACCTCGTTTTTTAAAATTGGTAAAACTGTTGTAACTTTTATTCATTGTTGGACATTAACTTTGAAAAAGCGTATCTATATTGCTGATATAACATTCATAAAAAAAATAAGCTGCAGTTCTTGTTGAAATATATTCGGACACTAAATAAGCAGTGACAAATATAAGTAGTCAAGATTCAAAAGAAGGAATGATCGACTATTAAACGAAAGATGACTTATTGAATAGTCTTTATGCATACATTATGATTGTAGAATATAATGGATAGAGTACAGGTATTTTTTCAAGGCACAATAAACCATAAAACTTCAGAATTCGAAACAAACTCACTACAGCAAACAGTCCAAGAAACAATTGGACTAAGCAAAGCTAATATTAATCATCAAAATATAGTTCATTTTATATTTTTGAATCAACACACTTGTTTTCTTTTCTATAAAAAGCAAGTCAATTAGTGGTGATAAGAGTCATTAGAAAAAAAAAAAGTTCTAACATATGATTTACCAATATACTCAATGTGTATACTTCAAACGACTATTGTACTTATGAAAGCTACCTTTGAATTAAACTACCTTGACAATGATTACTAACTATTCATTCCGATAATAAAAGCAATCTATTCAAGTGAATATATAGTTCACTTGAATAATACGTCGTTTTTTTTAAAAGCAAGAACTTGAATATTAATAAATCAGAAAGATTTATTATAATATGATCATTAGTCTATGCATGATTAAATCGTAAAAAAAAGTAATTCTCTTAATGGTTTCATCTGTTATATATTTAATACATGAAGCATTTCGATAAAAATTTATTTGATTTTTTCGTTTTGATTGGCTGTATCATGATTTAAATCAAAATCTGATGTCAATCCTGCATTTAACATATAAGAAAATAATTTTCAGATCGATTATTTTCTTTTTCAAACGATACTTATATGAAATTGTAAACGTCAACTAAATAGGATTAAGTACTTATATAACCCATGTGACATGATGTTTTTTTTATTTGTCTTTAACTTCGACAAGAAAGTTTTAAGATGAAAGAAATTTGATTTCTCTTCATTTATAAATTTACTTTATTATTAAAAGAAAATTTAGAAGAAAAAAGAAAACATTTTGTTTTTCTTATTTAATATTTCTTTTGTTGTGTTTTGCGTATAAAGAAAAATACGTAAAAACCTATTTTAAAATGAATTCTCAAACGAAAAATAATCGCCAGCACTCAACATTTTAATTGACATCGGTTCGAAAACTAAATAGACAAATTGATTGCAACAATCGAGAAAGTGCATCAAAAAAATAATAAAATATACCGCTGCTGCTGTTTATGTCAATCAATCATCAGTCGCCCTTCGAAATCAAAAGAAATCAACACGCCTAGTCAGTCATCACACGAGCATCAAAACTTTGGTTCTCTCATCTCACATTTGCCTTCGCTTATTTTTCTACTTATTTTTTTTCAAAGTGTGATTACGGAACTCGATCGTATGTTTGCCCAGCAACAGCACATACAAACATTATAAACGCTTTTTGTGCCTCAAAAGTGCCATTTTGAAAAGGAGGAAAAAAGAAATCATTATCATTGGATCAAAGTATATTTGAGCTGTTTGTGTATACGTAAATACGATGCAACTATTCGAATCCAAAGTGCTCAATGCTATACGTCAATCTCAATATAAACAACTTGCTTTATTTGTTCGTCATAACTATAATCTAAATGTAACAACAAAAGATGGTCGGAATGGTTTATTTATTGCACTTGATATTCCTGATGCACGTAAACGTCGTCGTATGATTAGATTTTGTTTAGATCATGGTATTGATGCATTACAAAAAGAAAAAAAATATAATTATACACCTTTACATGAAGCTATTGCTCGACAACAAATTGATTCTGTTCAACTTTTACTTGCGAATGCTGGTGGTGAAATTGATTGGCGTTCATTAGATGTACATGGTCGTACAATATTACATCAAGCAGTTGAATCAAATAATGTATCAATACTTGAAGCACTCATTATTGTTATGAATCATTATGGAGTTTCTGTTGATATACCAGATAAAAATGGTTTAACACCATATTTATTAGCTGTAAAACTTCATTTACGTGACATGGCACAAATACTTTCAAATAAAGGACATGCAAGTAGACAACAATGTGATTTACAAACACATCGAAATGCAAATGAATGGAAAGTAGCTGGTATTGAAGAACACCGTTTACTTATACGTGATAAACTTCGACAAGAAATTGATAATGCTATGACAGAAGGTAAAATCAATAAAGTTAAAAAATTAAAACAAATTTATTATTCACCATTATTATTATCAACAAATATTCCAACTCGTCGTGATTCAATTTTATCTATGACAACTATATCGGGTTTAAATACGAAATCATCTATGTCAATTAATGAAATGATTGATCAATTACCAGAAGGTGATATACCTGAATCATTTGTAACTAGTGAATCAGATGATCAAACTTTTCATTTGGAATCTTTGTCATCATCTCAAAAGCCTGTGTCATTGTCTCTTCCACCAATATCCACTGCACGACAGCATCGACCAGCTTTAACACTCAATGCTCTTGTAGATTTATTTCAGGTAGTTCAATAATCAACATGCCTATATTATTTATTTCTTTTTGAGACTTGAAAAAAAAACAAAAAATCTCATTTTTTTTCTTTTATAAAACTCTCTCTTATATTTTTGTTCTGTCTATTTTTATTTTCTTTCCGGTTCCAAAGAAGAATAAAAAACGAAATAGACACATGTAGATTTTTATCTTCTTTTCTTTCTTTTTACATTTTATTTGTCCCAGGTGGTTACTGATCAAATATCGCCATCGTATCGTTCATCAGTGAAAAACAATACTACTACATCATTTGGTCAATATGCACGCAAAAAAAATTCAGTGATTTCACATCGGAGTACATTAGCTACAGTTAGAAATAGTACAAATTTATCGTCAATATCAAGACGGCGACGTTCTTCGAACATTGTTGTCGCAACAAAACGAGTTGCTTAATTTGTGTATGTGAGAAAAAGAGTTAAGGAGACGAAAAATAAAGCAGACTAAACATATTATCCGAAAAATTGATACCATCCAAGATGAACTTGTCGAGGCTGTTCAAGCATTGTTTGCCATTCACTTTCATATCGTGTATGTTCACCAAGAAGTATTGAACCACCAGATATTATTGATTCATCTTTTGAATGTAATACACGAATAATGAGTTCAAAATGTACATATATTGATTGAATATCATTTAGCGGAATATTTTGCGTAATAATTTCGTTTATTTCATGCATATTATTGTTTGTTGTTAGTGATTCAGCAGAAATAATAGACGGTAGTTTCTTTTGATAAAACCGACGACCATGATGAAAAAATGTTACTATTAACCGAGCATCTATTGAAAAGAAAAGATTTAGTTAATAAAGTAACCTTGAGAAAAAAACGGTTTTGATATACTCTATTACCTATTATATTTTAGTTATCAAAAATGAACAATCTATTCGTTTGTAGAACTTTTTCTTTCTACAAATGTGATTTATTTGTTAGAATAAATATGAAAATTCTACTATTCTGTGTGCTAATTAATAACAAAAATTGTATTTTGCTTATTTATCTTGTTGTTCAAATTAAAAATACTTGTTGTATTATATCCAAAATCTCAATTATTTATGTCTTATTCATAATATCAAAAAACAAAATTTCATTTCGACTTTACATTCCACTTCATATTTTGCAACTCAACTAATCCATTTATCTATGATAATGTGAATTTTTTTCTATTAAAAAATCATACCGATTTTTTTATCTTTTTCTGTTTTACACAGATAACGTAATTTTTCAACTTTAATTGTAATTCTTTCAGCAGTTGGAAGATAACTCATGCCAAGAAAGATTTCTCCAAAAGTTATCTAATATACAAAAAAAAAGACAAACAAATCTTTCATTCAATGTATTAAAAGTCTTCTTTCATACTTCCGGCAAATCTTTAAAGTCAATTATTTGTTGATAATGAGGTATCATTGATGAATTTAAAGGAATTACAGCTTCAAACATCAAATCTTGAATACCAGATCGATCAATACAAAAAAGTAAAAAACGAAGAGATGTTGATTTGATATTATTTATATTTAGTTCGAATAGTAAGTATTCATCACATATCAATGTATCTGATGATGTTCGTGATAACTTTCTAAATGATATAAAAAATTAATACTAAAAGCATCAATCAAAAACCTATATCGAACTTAGTCGTTTTTTCTTGTTGTTTCTTCCATGTACTTAATTGCAAACTTGATCGACGTTTTTTTCTGGCATCATGAAATTTTTTTAATATTTTATTATTTAATAATTGTATATGAATAAAAAACTCCGCTTCTTCATCAAATGCTGGATGAACTGAAAAATGTTCACCATCTGTTAAATGAATTATTAATATATTTTTTGTTGTATCAATATTAAGTTCAATATTGACTTGAGCATATGGAGGTGATGGATAAGTAGTAATTGTTGCTACAAGTGTATCATTATTTGAGAAAGATGAACGAGCCGATTCAGGACAAGTGATTTTTTCATTTAATGATGATGCATAATCAGTACCCTGAATAAAATAATATCAAAGAAATATTTTGGCAAATGAAGTCGATTATTGCTGAAACTGTTTCCATATATATTTAAAAAAAAAAATTTCTCTGTATGTACTGATGAACTTCAGAAAAGATGCTTACACCACTCGATTGTCCACCATCAGTGTCCGATGCTGTTCCATTGGATAATTTTCTTCCTGGATTCAAATATTGACATTTGTTTAAAATACTCATATCATCTGTTTTAACAATTGATTCATAATATGGTGGTGTTGATGGAAGTACAAATGTATTTTTTTTTGATAATGGAGCAATTAATATTCGTTGTTCTTTATCTTGATAGAAATCAAAATGATTCTCAACTTTATTTTATTGTACTATATTCATAATCAACACCTACCTAATTTCTTTTTTCGATAATATCGCCGTCGTAAAGGAGATTGTGAACAAATAAGACAAAGCAATGTACAACCAGCGATTGAAACAAATGTAGCAACAAAAAGTACAATTATAATTCGTTCATTTGGTGTAAATTGTCGTTGCAACGGAAATACATGCCGCAATTGATCAAGATAATCTTTCTCTTGTGGACTACTACTCATATTTATCCTGTCTATATCATTTGAGCTTTTTTCTAGATTCTCGTTGTTGGATTCGTGACAGTACTCTTTTTTTAATACTTTGTCATATACAGTGAAAATGAGACAGCTGCGATATACGCAAATATGAAAAAACAATATTTTTGGTCAAAAGCAGAAAAAACAATTTTTTTCTCTCGATACTCTGCTATAGGATTCGTTTCTTTTTTTTCTTCACTTCACAATGAAATACAGAGACCAATCGCAGAATACATTATATGATGTTGATGCATATTGATTTAAGCATGATTAATAGAGGTTCTTGATATATATATATATATATATTCATACACATATAAAAGTGCCTCAAACAAAATATTTCTTTTCAGACACAATTCATACTCAAGGTTAAACAGATTCTGTTGATCAAATGTTTGATATTGATACGTTGTTGAATCAACAGGTGATCGCTTTTTAAACAAAAAAAAAACTATATCTTGATATAGAAAAAAAAATAGACATACACGCAGTTTTTTTATATACATAGAACAAGCTTATTTTAATAAAGGATTAAAAAAAAGAAAGTAAAGATAATGCAATAATGCAACTAAGTATTTTTTTTTGTTATTTTTGTCACATCGTTAAATGTTATATGATCTCTATACATTGGTTTCTGATTAAGATTCACGTAATTTTGCTAATCGTTGACTTAACTCGTCCTGAAAAAAAAGCATAGAGAAGTATGGTTAAATAAATTAACAAATAAAAGCCAAAAAAACAAAACTCATACTTGTTCTTTAAGAGCAACAGAAGTACTCATGGCTGGTGCAGTTGGCATATTAAGATTAAGTTCAATTCCTGCTTCGTCAGCCATTTCTTGCATAAGATTAGCAACTTGATCGACTGGTTGTTGTACAGTAGTGGCATTTTGCATAGCATCATCCATAACTTTTGTTTTTACTTCAAGATCTTCAAAATTTTTCTCTAAACTATCCATTAATTTGGATGTTTCAGTCAATGGCATATTTGCAGTTACTTTTGACATTAGTGCAACCGTTTGTTTAAGACTTGCTGCCATCTAAAGAAATATTTTTAAAAAATACGTATATCTGATCTCAGTTTATATTAGAAATTGTAAATTTACTTGTCGTTGTGCTGCTGAATTTGCTACACGTGCTTGTACACCATCAACACGAGCAGCCATTCGTTTACAATTTAATGATTCACTATGATGTCGAATAGCATTTTCAGCATGAATTTTAGCAGCTTCAATATTGCCTTTCATTAAGGCTTTTTTAACTTTTTCACGTTCAACTTTTTCCTGTTTATCATGTGTAGCCGATTGTCGTTCGAGCATTTTTGTTTGCATTTTAAATTGAAATGCCAGTTTATCTATAACGAAAAAAAAATAATGTAAAGCTTTTATTTTGAAATTAAGAAAAAAGAATACAATACATACCGGACATAATTTTTATGCTTTATTTGTCGTTCGTCGTTAGAAAAGAATATTGACAAAAAGAGATATATCTGAAATTGAATAAGAAAAATTATTAGGACTTATAGAGAATCTACTCTTAAAAGCATCGTCATCATCTGACAGTATTATTACTAAAACGAAGACAAAATAATAGAAAGAAATCGAGAGAAGAAATAATGAAAAATTAATTACTGTACAAACTGGATAATTAATTCAATCAAGCTTACATTAATTTATTTTAATAGCCTAATAAAAGTTAGATTCATACGAGTGACTTCATCCTAAAATAAAGTATAATGAAATTATTATACAATACATCATATTTCGAACTTAATAAAAAACGTACTAAAATCGCTCTCAATACTGTCTTAGTTCTAATGCTTTCAAGAAAACATATTATCAAATTTTGTTTCAAAATGAAGTTTTCCTATAAAATAGAAATTTTTCGGGTTTTAAAATCATTACAGAAAAACTCAACAAGCCACTATGTTCTTGAATCAATGTCGTCCATTATTTTACAGTGTAGTTCAGTAATACATGCAATACAATGAAATATTTAGTTTATATTTGGTTTATCAAAAAATATACTAAATTCAAAATAGATGATGATGCTTCTTCATCCTAGACTATGACCTTCGAGTGAATCATTGAAGATTTTTAGTTAAAACCAGATCAGAAGAATCAGCAACTAAAACTTAACAATTATTGTCAAAATTGTTAGTCAATATTAAAAGTATATTACGTGTACGCAGCATATGAGTAAAAAACCAGAATTTTAAGACGATAGATATATCTCATTTGCTAGTTTTTTCGCTCCTATAAATTGATAAGTTTGTAGTGATACTGGAATGTTAAAAGATAAGGAACTTACTATTGAATGTTAGCTTCTTCTTTATTGAAACTTTATATCTAAATCATTAATAAACAATCAACGATTCAGTCGGAACAGTAATTTCCAATGGAATCTGAAAATGAAACATTATCACACACTTTACTTATACGAGTAATGTGCATGTTTGTACTGTTTTTGTCAGGAAATTGTAGGAAAACCAAAATTTTCACGGTCTAAAAAAAATACTTATGCTCGTATTTTTCTTTAACAGAAATATAAATTGATACTTAACAAACTAATCAGTGGTCACTTCGTAGACTCATTTAATCATCTGACATGTTTATAACAAAGACAATGCTAGAAATGGTATTGATTAAGGAGTTTTTCAAAAAGCTCAAAACGAACCAATTTTAATTTGATTCAGTTTGAAGTCGAATCGATTTCATCTCTGATAAACACTAACTTATCTAACAACCATGAGTTTCAATTCAATACGCCGCAAGTCTTTCAGAATACGAAATTCGAAAATGTATATTTCTTCAACAAAGCATACATAGTACGCGTTGTTTTTCTGAGAGATGTGTAAAACTGAGTATATTTCTAAAGTAACAGATTTTCTAAACTTTCTAATTCTGCTTGATATACCTACTATAGAAAACACTAACTCAGAAAAATGACCGATATCAGTGAAGCTATACGTCAGTTAATATTATGAGTCATAGTAGTGATAAGTATGATAATGATTATGATTCACACATGAAATGGTTTCTCCAACACTTACTGAATTTAATTAAAAACAATATAAATAAATGAAAATTTTTGATTAAATAAATTTTTTAAAATTCTATTTATCCTTATAGATGTCACTAGATTCCCATTCAAAATAAGTTAAACAAGTTAAAAGAGGTTAGCATTGCACAGATAATCCATATAGTATATGCTTGTGCGAAGACTAACTACATCAATCGCCTTTGGGTATTTTTTATTCTCTCCTCCTATTACACAATCGATCATCGTCATTTTACAATGTCAGCTGTGTCAGCGAAGTATTTAAGATGAAGTCTTTGTTTCTAGGATGTAAGATTACAGCAACATCTTGAAAAACTGTCAAATTCATCTACAAGTTAAAATTCGTTGCTAGTAAATAAAATCAAAGTGATTTTGAGACAGTCAGGATAGAATAGAATGAGTGAGATAGTCCGTTATTTTGCGAAGAATCTTCTTTCCGCAGGAACGTAAAGAAAAATTTTGTCAGCGTTGATGAAAATGAAAGTTTTGTGTAATGATGCTGTGTCACCCACGATATGTTCGGTTCAAACCAGCCTGCGAAAAGGTGAATAGATTTATTTGAAGCAACTATTGGATTACTTATTTGGTTAATACTCATTCTCACATCTTACATAACTTAATAAAACTTCTAAAGTATACTCTTGTTATATTTCTCATAATTAATTCTTTCTAAAACAAATTAACATAACAACAGCACAAAAATACCAAATGTAATGACCATGAAGACGATAATATAATATTGAAGTACAACTAAGAATGTATTGAACTACAAGACAATACTTTTCTCCAACTACACTTTGACATCATTGAAATCATTCGTTTGGAAGAAAAGGATCGATCTACACATATATTTCATAGATCCACCCCATTTCTATTTTAATTACATACAACAATGTCCTAATTAACATCGAGAAATGATAACTATCACCTTGACATCACTATTCGATTTTTCAACCGACTATATTTTCTACTGTGTTGGATACAGATTAAATATGAATCGGTAAATTTGGTTTATGCTTATGTAATAATAATAATTTTCAAAAAAAACACGATTACGGCGAAAATAAAGATAAATTAAAAGGTTTATTTTTTTATGCGAACGTACTGAAAAAAACTAATAGTAAATAAAACATTTTCATTTATCACTTATTTATATTTTTTATTTAGAAATAATTTAGAATTTCTATTCATGTGAACAAGAAGATATACAACTTCTATATGATTACATAGGCCCGATCAAGCAGCAGTGAACATATTACTCGATATGGTCTCGAGAAAACAAATGATTAATAGTATGTATTCATCAGTATTCATAGGTATTAATGACAAGAAAAGATGCCATCATCAGAATAGGTCGTTTGATATATTAAATAAAGAGAAGATGAATTACATATGTTGTATCAATGTATTGAACGTAATACATGTGATGAATTTACCGTTTTTTTAAAGCTTTGATCATGAACAATTATTTACATAAAATCAAGAAAAAGCTATGAAAAATTATTACATATAGTTTTATAAATACAATTCTTTGCCTTGAACGAACTTATTAGCCTACGTTAATGAACATAATTACAAAAGAGTCAACAGCATAAAAAAAAACAAGTTTTTTACATGTCCCGATGCGATACAGTCATCTCATTTCAAAATCAAAACTAGAAAAATGAATAATCTCAATTGCTCGAATTTCCTAAATTTTGATTTAATTGCAATTCACAAAAAAAAGGCAGAACAATTTAAAACTGTGATTCAAATGTGATAGATTTTCCAATACCTACAAATTTCTTTCGTAACTTTTTTCTTTAATCAATAAATGTAGGACCATCATTTTTTTGAAATTAGAATAAAATTTGAATTTATATAATGCATCAACTCAAAATCTTGAAAAGTTCAGAAAAAAACACTAAATAACAACTGTTAAAATTC